TGACTCGACGAAATGTTAAGAAGCGAACATGGAGTCAAGGCTTGGGCCGACACACAGAAGGGGAGGTAACTGAGATGTTTAAGAAGGATCTGCAGTCCCTGTCGGATTTCATAGGTACGCAGAAGCTCTAGTAATTCTTACGTTGTATACGAATTAAACTTATAATTAAGATTACCAATGTTTGAGAATTAACAAATCCATAGTTTGGATGATAGTTCAAGATCATTCGTCGCCACTAGTCTCTTTCGGTAATGTGCACGAAATGTGTGCAACGCTTCCTGGCGGCAGAGCATTGGTCATACAGCAAGTGGGAGGTAACTGCCTTCGTATGGACAGAGATATCCAGGCTATATCGGAGGTTATTGGTAATAAACTGATACAGGGTACAAACAATGACCGTAGCAATCTAGATATTCACCTGACCATCTTTGGCTGTTCTGTTACATCGTTCCTGGATGTCAACTTCATATCTTCATCCTTGTTTAAGACACACCATTAAATAAATCCTGTGTATAGACAAATGTCATCTTCTCTCAAGTGGAGCCTCGCATGACGCATCCTATCTTTTTAACCTTGTATAATTATGGTCGGTTGGTTTCGGCGGTCAGTAAATAATCGAGCCTGGTCCAGACAATCCAGTGACATCATGAGCATAGATCTGCGAAATTTGGGCACGAATGCATGCATCAACCTGTTACGACAAGCATGGGTTTCTGAAGGCTAATTCTAACCCGGATCTTCACGGGTTGTATTTATATAATGAGGGAGAGTAGGGCAGTCATGATCGGCTACGAGCTACGGTCCTTGTTTGATTCCCCTCTCCGATACAATCCGTGAAGCCTATGGTGCCCTACATATATATATACTGCTTGATAAACGCAGCTATATGTATCTCAATCGTAAGAGAGCCAGGCATATCATTGTATTATATACTCCCTCATTCGACAGAGTAACAAAGATGCAGAATTGCTCTTTATAGTTAAGCAATGGGGAGCTCACAGTCACTGGAATGCCTTGATATTGTCGTCGTCTTTGGTCTTTGAAATATTACTAAATGTCCAACGAAGTATAGGCACCAACAGCTGTTACATAATTCGGTTGAAGATTATAGCTTCAAATGATTCAACAGAAGTGCGACTCGAGTCCGCTGCTTTGACAAATTGATCAAATCCCGCCGTTTAATTAGAAACAAGCATGTTACATACATGTTGACAATCTTTGAAATTTTGTTTATGTTCTGACAATCACTGGGGCATTAGAATAAAGTTAATGTTATTGGATGTGTAATGACAAGAACACAACGATAGGTTTAATATGATCTATATTCTGAAATAGAATATATCTACTTGATTGACCATTCCTTTATTACACACCTAAGCTAATTAAAATTTCATTTATCCAAATAAATATTCAGTGGTTTTCAGACAGTTTTCAATATCCACCATGACAAACGACACAATAATCTTATGCCGTATTTTGTATCTGTCCGCAGTTTTCCTCCATGCCCATATACTTATAACACCTCATGCTGGATGTTCCAGGGACCAAGAAGTTCCTGATGGGGGACGAGCCCTGTGAGACGGACTGTGCTGTGTTCGGTCAGCTGTCACAGGTTTACTGGCATTTCACGGGCACTGGACACGAGAACATCATCAAGGGCAAGTACCTTCAGTTACATCATCAATACCATAATTGAAAACATTAAGCTATTCAATCCCCCGTCAAATTAACGGCCAATTTGTGTATTTTTACTTAACAAGCGTCAAACTCTGCGCATCATCTCTTTGCGAACCCTACCCTAGTGAAAGTAATGTAAGGAGCTGAATGATCATTATCAGAGCATTAGCTATCTTTCACTAGCTGTATTTCCTTCCCTCTTGAAATAGGCCTTGTCTTGGTTCCATGGCTTCCATTAGCGAAAACGGTGAAAATCTGCAGACAGTATTCACGGGTGATATACATATATAGTGTATGTAGTCTACACAAAGGATGCATCAGACGTAGACGCGTTTATTCCAACGTTTGTGAAAAATCATCTTGTTACATGGAGGCAGCGTTCTGCTAATGCCTGCATTAATGTGTGTTGCTGCAATGTTCTGCACCAACCAACGGATACCGATTACGTAATGTGCATGAAGTGCCTGTACCCATTTTGTCATCATATTTGTGAAAATGTGTTTCTGTAAACAAACAAGTACCCGTTAGAATTTGTTTTCAGTTGCCCATGCATGCTTTAAGAGGCGTCTAATGGAAACAACTGGTCAGGCTCGCTGTCTTGGTTGACACATGTCATAGTATTCCTATTGCGTAGATCGTTCATGACGTTGATCACTGGATTGTCTAGTTCAGATTCGACTATTTACAGATATATTGCTAATTGCGACGTTAAACAACAAACCAACAGAATGAACGGACAAGGTTTACACGTGTATTTGATTTCAAATTGATTTAGAACTTCGATTTTGCATTTATTCAATGCTAATGAAAATCTAAAAACACCAACCTCCATTTACTGTTTTTACACTTTCTACGTGTCAACCTCACGTTATTCAGTCTCAGAGATGTCATGTCTAGTATTCAAATCCAGTTCTCTTACTTAACTAAATTATCATTTCTTTTATAATAAGATCACATTACAAGACTCTAATTTACATATGCATTGATGTTATCATTATTTTGTTGTTATATAGTGAACTTTTCGTTTTCGTAGACAAATACCCCAACCTGGCCGCCTACTGTGAACGTATGAAGGAAACGTTCTGGCCCGTCTGGGACCAGTGTACCACACATGGTGGAACAAGGGAGGCAACCAAGTAGTAACTGCGGATTCCATGTATTTCAAAGGACATATAACTGTTCAGATGGTGTAAAACACATTTAAACAGCTGTGTCCAAAGTATTTGTTTCAGACGTCACTCACAAATGTTATCAACTCGATCAATAATCCAGTTGACTTGAACTGAACTTCGTCCCTTTAGTAGTTAATAGCCCAGTTGCACAGAACTATCTTGATATTTAGAAATAGTTTTCTAAGCAACAAAGCACCCTTGCTGTAATTAAGTCGATTCAGTTCAGATATACTTTAGAAACCCTACCTCAACTAGCTGTCTTTTAGATGAGACATCTTGCTTGATAACAGAGAAAAAAAGATTTCGCGAAGGATACGTTAGATCACGGGAAGGTAATTGGAACAGCTCGATGACGTAAGGTCAAGCTATCCTGCTCATCAGTAATGTGAGAACTGTTGTCACGAAGGATACGTCAGCTCAACATGTAACTTATAAAGTCTACTTTGTAAAGCGTAAAGTACAGTCTGAGATTTTGATATTTTACGAGCATCGTATTGAACTATACTTTCGCAGATCTACTATTGGTTGGAGCCAGCAAGTCTTAAGTAAGTTTACAATGTGTAAACTATATAGTTGACCCCAAATATTCCTCTTACAGATTCTGCACCATTTATTGTGTTGGCTAACACTAGTCCCTGAAATTAAATATTTTACAGAAAAAAAACAGTTCATAGTAAAATAAAACAAAATATAATGAAAAGAAGCCCTGAGACTTTCTTCATTTTCAGCCTGAAACTGTGGAAATCTGGACTTGCCACATATTCTAGACTTGCATGGGCTTTCTTGGATATATTTGTTTCAGGGTCGGTATAACAGATTAAATATTGTGCTTACCAGAAGGTTATTCTGTCCTTTCATGCATTTCAATTTCGGCGTTTCGTGTGATATGTTGTTTCGCTTTTAGTTGATTTATAACCCATGTATATTTGATAAAAAACGTTTACCCTAGATATTCGTTCTTACGGATTCGGCACCATGTGATATCGATATTGTGTTTACCAGGACATTCTGTCACTTCATGCATTTCAGTATGGCCGTTATAGGTGGTTGTGATATGTTGTTTCGCTTTAGGCTGTTGAAATTACTCTTGAAAGTAACATTCCTTAACATACACAGCGATGTTTTCCTTTGGAGACCATAGCGATCTTGGTATATTAATAACGGTGAATGAGTGAAACGCTCGTTAGAACGATATTTCAGCTATGCCGGCCTGTGATACCCATGCCTACTGTTGAAGAAAGCCTACCTTTTGTGATTACTGACCCCAGGAAATATTATCAGGTAAACATGAAATTCCGAACTCTGGCTCACATCAATGTCCTATTCGTGTCCAACTGTTAAATGGGATAATGATAAAACAATTGATAAACCATGTTCACTAACTTACTGCAGGGGCGGTGGGGTAGCCTAGTGGTTAAAGCGTTCGCTAGTCACGCTTAAGACCCGGGTTCGATTCCCCACATGGGTACAATGGTTGAAGCTTATTTCTGGTGTCCCCACCGTGATATTGTTGGAATATTGCTAAAAGTGGCATAAAACTAAACTCACTCACTCACTCACTCACTCACTCACTCACTCACTCACTGCAGTGCTTGCATTGAATGACATGTACATGTATAGTCTGTTTGTCACCGACAGTGTATAATCTATTTCAAATACAATGCTTTGATTTTCAATATGTATGCTCTTTTTTGTGAGGTTCTTATTTGTGCGCAAAGAGTGAGTGAGTTTAGGTTTACGCCGCAATTAAGCAATATTCCAGCTATATGGCGGCGGTCTGTAAATCATCGAGCCTGGACTAGACAATCCAGTGAACAACAGCATGAGCATCGATCTACGCAATTGGGAACCGATGACATGTGTCAACCAAGCCAGCGAGCCTGACCACGCGATCCCGATAGTCGCCTCTTACGACAAGCATGGGCTACTGAAGATCAGTATTCTAACCCGGATCTTCACGGGGTGTTTGCAAAGAAGTTATTAAGACGTCAGAGTGTGATCTTCTGTGTGGCTCCTACTGTCTTAGCTGTGAGCATCATTGCTTGTGTGTTAATTGTCTCACAATCTACCACCATCAATCCATTCCCACGTGGACATTCACACAAAGCATGAATCCTCCATGTTTGTTGAGAAAAATACAAAGTAAATGTATTTTGTTTCACAATAAAAACATTTTATTCAGCTTTACGTGAACAAACAAAAAGCAAATAACAAACAGAATAACCATGTTGCCAAAAGCTTAATAAATATAACACGGCAATTGAATTACGACAATTGATACATGTACAAAATATATATTGAGCAGCATTGCCATACCGTCATGGGGACGTGTATTTACGTCAAAGCAAACCACCATTATTAGAATACAATGTAATGTACAATTTGCAAGAGTGAATATGTCATTATAGGCAATGGCCTACTCATAATATAACATAATTCGTCCCATAATGAATTATATACATGGGCATATATGACAGGGTTTTAAATATTCAAATTACAATATGTTGTAAATATCGTCGTATCTTCGAAGCATCAGCAGCCTACATCTTGGGCGCCTCGTTCTCATCCCCCAGGGTGATGACGTCATCAGTCGCCTTGACGTTGCGCATTTCTTCAATGCAGGCTTCCATTGGCTCATCAGCCTCATTCTGACGGCGGCAGCGTCTGCGATGGTCTTGTGCATGACCATGACCATGACCATGACCATGACCTTCGCCTCGAGGGTGACCTCTAAAGCGACCTCTACAGCCCTCTCTCGGATCACCTCGTCCATCTTCCCATCCGGCAAAACCCATGTCCCGAGGTTCCATCTCATTGAGGCATTCCCAGCTTCTCTTGCAACCTCCACGACCACCACGTCTCCATCCCCCTCTTCTGTTCCAACAACCTTCACCCCAGGCATGAGGATGCATTCCCATCATGCCCCAGAATTGCATTGGGCCGCCAGCAAACATGCCGGGATGGCCGAAAGATGGTGGAGGCATGTCCTCGTCCGAAGATCCGGAGGTATCATCGTCTTTGGTCTGGGAGTCTTCAGCATGGTGTTTGTCATGTTTATGACATTTTCCTCTTCCCTTCTTTCCTCTGCCACACTTCTGGGTTCCACTTTGGTCATCTGCCTTCATTTCTGTATCTGTAAAATAGAGGTACAACAAAAGGGTGAACCATAAAATAGAGGTACAACAAAAGGGTGAACCATGCACACCAACGACTATGATTATGCTGTTTACTTGCCAACAATGGGCGTTTTCTGTTGATTAATAGACAATAATATACCAAAGGGAGTGTAGTATGACACCTAGTTATTTTCCCTAATGCCTAACCCTCCCTGCAATGCTAAAGCCCTCAATGAAGCAAGTCTAGATTTCCCAATCTCCCAAATCACTGGGGCTCCTTTTTTAATTTAAATGGGTTTATTTGTTACTATCAAAATTATATATATTCAGGGACTAAGTGTTCGTCTATTTGACACTGACTGTAGCAACATTTCTACAGTATCGGGTAGGGTGACATCAGAAATGGGCTTCATGCCATGGAACAAAATGGACCAATATGGAAAATCGAACAAGGGAGTTCGATCTGACGAGCGATCGCTGTACCCATCAGGCTACGCCGCTGCTACCCAAAGGGAGTAACACTGATCTTTTAGTCCGACTTGACGAAAGGATTTTTATGAATTTGCTAATTGGTGCACCGCGGAAGTATCCCTTGGGAACTAAGTCTGTTGACATTATCGTTGACAAAGGTAGGCAAACATTGACCCATGCGAGACACGTTTCTGATTATCTCGACAAATTCGATAATATCCCAACATTGAAGAGGCAGTGAGGTGGCCTTGTTGTTTAAGGAACTGCTCGATATGTCAAAGAATCGGGTTCCTTGTCACTAGTATCACTTTCCCCAACCACTGCTATGACAGTAGACAAAAGACACATCTTAAACTGTAATATGTGAGACTGTGTGTGTTTACAAGTACGGATACCCACCATTACCATCGCCTCTGCCCTCTGTGTTGTCAGGTGCATCTTTCGTATTTTCCGCTTGGGCGCCTTTATCTGCTGTGTTGGTTTCGAACTCTTCACCGGGAGTGACCTCCCCTTCTGCCCTTGACTCATGGCACTTATTCTTCTTGTTCCAGCGTTTCATGCGCTTCATCCATCGGTGAAAGTGGGGATGAGGAGGCATTCCTCTCATAGGCTACAAAATAGTGTGGACATTGATCAAATCGCTAGAGATTTTCGCGTATTGACATTGTGTATATCTAGGCGAGAAGTTGGTTCGGTGACTACGAACAAAGTGATACTTCGAGGACACAGTCGAGGTAGTAACATTTGAGAGGTACACCAGAGACGTTTAAAACTGGAAATGATTTGAAGCAAGCTCACCATTGCGCCTGCACCTCGCATGCCACCCATCCTGCCCCACCCACGGCCCCACCCCTGCATCCTGGGGTCAAAGTCCCATTCATCATCCTCTGATACTACAGGAGAGGCATCTGGAGAAAAGAATCAGTCATCAAAATATTAGTCTGACAATATTACTGACATAAGCGTCCATACAATCTCCACATACTTTCTCTCTTTATTCTTGCGAGCCTTTTCCTGTATTGATCCGAAATATCAATATTTCAAGATCAGTTGACTGTGTCCCAGGCCGAGACTGAATCAGCTGTTAGTACTGTTATAGTTATCGAACCTTATAATACTCGTACACCGATATGTTGATCACTGGATTGTCTGGTCCAGACTCGATTATTTACAGACCGCCGCCATACAGCTGGAATATTGGTGAGTGCGGGGTAAAACTAAACTCGCACACTCGTATAGCGATAGACGAATGTTCGTTTGTACCTCGAATGTAGATTCTGAGGACGGATTCCTTGACTGAGCATAGGGCCTCCTGCATCTCCTGTTCCGAGGAGCAGGTCACAAAGTCGCCTTCACCATCTGAAACACCATCCTTAGCTTGTGTACATGTGTTTATAACTCATTTGTACGAGTGAACAGTGAAGATAAAATGGACATCTATGCTGAACAAGTAACACAAAAGAGTTTGTTAATCACAAAGTTACAAAACGGTTGGTTGTACGAAATGACAGCTTATTTATGTCCTTGTTATGGTATATACTGTGAAACCTCGGTTATCTAGAACAGCCGTATTCTGGACGATAGGGAACTAGAATATACAAAGGACATTACTCCGGTGACGAACCAATAAAGATCCGGTTTAGAAATGGTCATCTGGTGCATGTACTATATGTATCCCATTCCAAATAAATACCCGTGAAGATCCGGGTCTTCGGTAGCCCATGCTAGCTTGTCGTAAAGCGGACTAACGGGATTGGATTGTAAGACTAGCTGACTTGGTTGACACGTCATCGTTGCGCAATTGCCTAGATCGATGCTCACTATGTCAATCACTGGATTGTCTTGTCCAGACTCGAGTATTTACAGACTGCCGTCAAATAGCTGAGTGGCGTTAAACAAACATACAAACAAATGTTCATCCGAGCAATGTCGCCTCCACTGGTAGTACAACCGTAAGGATGAACAACGACTCACGCATGTATATCTATATCACTGAACTAGTAATCTAACCAGAATATTTTACGGACATAATATCCTATTCAAACCCCTTTTCGTTACTCTAATGATTTATAGATATTGATCAAATGGCTAATAAAAAGTTATAACATGAGGAGTAACTCAGTCAGCGAGTAACTATCTCTTTCAAAAGGGGAACTTAAATCTCTTTGAAAAGTACAGTGAGTGAATAATGTTTTACTGCGCAGTATAATCCACATTCCCGCTTTTTGACGGTGGGCTGTGAATAATCGAAGCTGTGGATCAGACTAACAGGAGACTGATGTCATGAGCAACCACGGCGGGGAACATGGAACACAACGATTCTACCCACTTCAGTCGAATCGTTTGGCATGATATTGAGAGGAGACGTAGTCTACAACGGGTCACCATTTAAGCATGTAAAAGCGTAATGATGAACAAGTGAATAAAAATTGCTTTGAGAAACATTATGAATGAGTGAATCTTATTTAACACCGTAATTAACCTTCCCTACCCCACCCATCCACCCGCCTTGATAATGGTGTAGTTTACACTGAATGAACCGGACATATCTCATAAATACATTCATGTTCACTGACTGATATTGCAGGGACATTGCGTAAAAACGGAGTAAACACTCACGAACTCACTCACGAACTCACGAACGACAGACATAGGTTGCTCAGGGTTATTTTAAAATCCTGAACCCCAGCAAATCTACATACAACCTATTGAAAGCAGGGAGGCTGTCAGCAATAATCAAAATATACATAAAATACATTTAAAGAGGAAAACACTTACCTTTCCAGTACATGTTGAAAGTCCCCGCCTCGAGTTTCTTGAACACTTCTTTCACTTTGTCGTGCACGAAGGCGTATGTTGGTGCGGAGTCGTTGGGACCAGGGAAACGCCGGACTTCAGGTCTCTCCGTCCCCTCACGTTCATAAAACACTTTGACTACCACAGACTGCATCTTGTAGTTCGGGCTGGTTCTCTGTGACTTTAACGTACAACAGGTGTTTCAATGTGAAATTTCTTTTCAGCAGACGACAGAACTTCGATATTCTCCTCTTTGTCTTGATTTCACGTCACCTGGTATGGTCTGTGTAGCTTGATTCTCTCAGCGAACTGATCCCGACATTTTATACCCCATGTATGTTGTAATTTCTGAAAATAGAAACGAACGTTCGCAAACGTTCCGAGAACTGAGCTGGCACGTTTCAGACCGGTTGCATCAGGATCACGAGGGCGGATGAGTCATGGTCACGTGAATAGGACTTTCCCGTGACACCTACGCATTAGAAACGACACTGACGTCACAAACTTGGCTGAGTGCCAAGTAAATAACCTGGTCATGATACAGAACGATTTTGTCATCAATAACAAATGCTACCTAATCCGATACAGTGACGTTTGTTAATCAACATGATGGTGCACCAGTATTATTTACAGAGGTTGCATTTAATAAATGTGAATTATTTTAATTGTGAAAATATTTTCATGCAGATTTGCGTCACTCTGCAGTGTTGGCTGAGAGCCAAGGAATGTGAACTAGTCAGGTCCGAGAACCATTCAGAACGGTTCTCGTACGTCACGTGATTTGGTTAATCGACCCGAGTCCCGTGATTCTGACGCAACCGGTCTGAAATAGTTTGGGCCGGTCCAGAACCGGTCACGAGAACGTTCCGGAACGGTTTGATTCTATTCATAGCAGTTGACATCACTGACTTTCCTGGTATATAAACCCCTAGTTTTAGTAACAGAATCACTCTACCGGCCAGCGCTACACAGCTATACTGAAGTTACCTCGCCAGCTGCTGTTATACAAGGACTCAAGTGTCGTCTGCTGAACAAATAAGACCGTTCTATAAAGTGAATACCGATTGCTAAAAGTGAGAATCATTGAGTTCTACCTCTGCTGTACAACATATCCTGACCAGAGAAATCTCAAGATGCAATCCTTGGTAATAAAGATGATTTATGAGCGGCAGGGCAGCGAGACTACCGAAGTTCGACGTTTCACTGTTCCGAGTGACACCGCCCAGAGTTACACCTTCATCAACGAGAAGGTGATGCAGGTGTTCCCACACCTTGAAGCGGACACGTTCAAACTGTGTTGGACAGGTAAACGTTGCTCTCTCTGTAATACATCAATATGGTACAATTAAGCGTAGTGTAAAATTCTAATAAATAAATGAATGTAAATAAATAAAATTCTAATATATACACACACACAAGTATTATATACGTGTGTGTGTGTGTGTGTGTGTGTGTGTGTGTGTGTGTGTGTGTGTGTGTGTGTGTGTGTGTGTGTGTGTGTGAAATATGAGTCCAGATATTTCTACTTGTCATAACTAAATTAATAATTAATTTATATAATACTAAATTACCACTGATTAGGTTCGCAATGGTTTGCTAAACAGTCTTCATTTGGAGCTTTATGTATATATATTACTGTCTGATGTACGTGTTTATTGTTTAAATTTGGTAAACATTATTTGAAGACCAAGTCTTCTAAGTTTATTGCTTTGTTAATCGTGATTGTTTTGTGGAACAGTAACATATGGTTTTAAACAAAATCTTTGTATTTCTCTTCAGATGCAGACGGAGATTTAGTAACTTTCTCCTCACAAGAAGAGCTCGAAGATGCTCTCAGCAGTGCCCGTGATTCTGTTATGAAAATCGTTGTCCGAGGTGAGCAGATTTCGAATTAACATAAATAACACATTATAGATCAATATATGTGTATAGCACTGACGATGTTTGGGAGTTAACCGTTTTGCTGATCAATGTAGCAGGTGGTATATACACCTTGCGGTGCGATTTCGCCTCTGACCCCGCTCCTGAATAAGATAAATGCATTGATCATGTGACTTTCAAAACAAACAAACCCTCTGCGAAAGCCTACATCCCGAGAAAGCATAGAAACAGCGTGACCTAAATATCATTCTCGTATTGAGACTCGTTTACTCTGCTTGACAGAACACGATGTGGCTAATATAGCCGAAGGAGTTACGTCCCTTGAAACGAATGCCGTTCGGAGATTGGCGTTTGAGAATGAAGCTGGCTTTGGAGGACGCCGTATGATGAAAATGGTAAGTTATTCCAATGTAATTAATATAAATTATAATATATGTAGACAAAATAGTGTTGTCTAAGATATATAAATTCAAGTATGGATGAATATGTATATTTCAATATACAATAAATAGGATAGAAAAATTTCGTGTGATTTAAATGTGAAATGTCATGTAGAGTTATTTTTTACTATTACTCATATGTGTGGTACTTTATGTATATAGGAGGGCGTCCAGCCCCGTCACTTCAGACGTTTGGCGAGATGGACCGGGAAAGGTCCACGATGGGAACGGATAGATGATGTTGAACGAGCCCCTGATGGCGACGTCAATGCCATGATAACCCTGCCTAAAGAACAAGTCAGGCGAAACTGCAACCGTAAGTCGTCTCTAAAGCTGCGCATATGTGTTTGCAACACTGTTGCCATGACAACTAGAAATATACATGTTCGCTTGCATTGATTGGAAAATTAGGACTTGACATTTTATATCTTCGTGTATTTTGGAAAATATAATTGATGGAGATAAGAGTCAGCTATTGTATATTACCGACGATTAAACGGTGATCCACCAGCAGGAAAACATGATTACTCAAGAAAATGTGGTGAGTGAGTGAGTGAGTTTAGTTTTACGCCGCAATATTTCAGCTATATTGCGTCGGTCTGTATATAATCGAGTCTGGACAAGACAATCCAGTGATCAACAGCATGAGCATCGATCTACGCAATTGGGATACGATGACACTTGTCAACCAAGTCAGCGAGGCTGACCACCCGATCCTGTTAGTCGCCTCTTACGACAAGCATGGGTTACTGAAGATCAATATTCTAACCCGGATCTTCACGGGTGGGATGGGATACATATACATATAGTACATGTACCAGATGTCCTGTTTTGGTCAGATGTAATATTTAAACCATATTCATATGGTGTTTATTTATTTCAGATACAGACAAATCCGGACATGATGTCTGTAGAAACGGTCGCCGATGGAATCTGCATGCATCCTCGAGAGCCAATGGTGCTGAAGGTTGCACTGTGAACGGCTGGCGTCACCGGAGACATCAGCGTAGGTCAGATCCTACAGCAGATGAAGATACAGCTTCGGACGATGTAATCCCGAGGCGCGTCTGCTGGAGACGATGGAGACGACAGAGAGAACTGGATGGGCTCTCTCAGCGTGATGGCAATGAAAGTCATGGTACGTCTCCAGCTAGACCTTGTGAAGGGCGTTGGAGAAGGCAGTTGATGCAAGGAGAATGTCACCTGCAGCAGCAGAATGCCATTGGTGAAACGTCTCCTTTGAAATCCTGTGGACAACGTTGGAGAAGATCCATGATGCGGGAAGATGCTCGCGTCCAACGTGATGAAACGACCAGGAAATGTGGGGGTCCTTGGAGAAGGCGAATGATGCAAGAGGCTCGCCTCCATCGAGATGCCAATGTAAGCAAATGCCCGAAACCTTGGAGAAGACGGGCGATGCAAGGAGATGGTACCACAGAAGAAGATCTCTCTCTGAGCCCACACTGGAGATCAATGCAAGCAAGCCCGGCTTCAAGATATGCAATGGGTACGAAAGGCATCACTGAGCAATACCATGGATGTCTCGGTACCAGGAAATCCTTCCTTGCTGGTTGTGAAGGATTTCAAGCAGCCCGTTATGATGGAGCAAGTCCACAGCGACCAGATCGATGCCACAGAGGTCAACGAGAGGCCAGTCGAAAGAGGTGGTGCCCGTCAAATGGGGCAGATTTTAGAAGATGGTCCAGGCGAAATGAAATTACTGAAGATGAACGCTGTCCCAATGGCCACTTCGCTGATGGCAGCTTTGTTAGCTGTCAGCGCCGTCGTGATCGTTGCATGAGCTTCCCGAGAAACATGCCTGGATGCAACCGCACAAATGAGGAAAGATGTCTGAAAAAATGTGTGAGGTTTTGCGATGATGAAACTGAGTCACACGATAACAGCTCCAGTGACCCAGTCCAGCGTGGAAGCAAATGGCAGAGAGCATGCCCACGCAACATCAGACGGCGCTTTCGTCTCCAGATGATGATGGGGGAAACATCCAACTTCAAATCCTCAGAAGAAGAATCTTGTGGAGTCGTATTCAACAGGTTTCCCAGGAAGACCCTTTCTAACTACTACGGCCACAACCGAAGGTATGGGAAATGTGATCAGATGAATCAAGGGATGCCGAAATGCAATGGCGGGTATAACATGCAGAGAGACAGAATGAACATGAACCATAGAAGGGGACCAACGTTTCAAATTCATCGTCTTCGTACCGTAAGGCGCATGCGCCGCTTGCGATACCTCATGGGCCTTAACAGACTTCAGAAACACCAACGTTCAGGAAAGCAGGGGCAGAGACGAAGACCTGTCCTTCGTCTTCATCTACGTGGAACTGGATCCACAGTTGGAGGAGTCTGTGGGGTTAGAGGTCACCGAGGTACCTACCTCTTTGGAATGGGCACTCATCTGGCAGACACAGTTCCAACATGTCCTGCTTCATACTCTGACAAATTCAGTATTGGTTACAACAGCACAAACAGCAGTAAACATGAGAAGAAGATCGCGTGTCCGGCCATGGGCAAATCCTGGGGTTGTCATAAGGCTTGCTACAGAGAATTTGGGAGAATGATGCGCAGCAACTCTGGAAAGAATGAAGGGAGGATGACCTGTCAAAAGAAGGACGTCTGTAACGACCCTGAAGACGCTGGGACACAAACACCTTATAAGCTCCCTTTCCATGAAAAGAGGAGACACTTCCTGATGAAAAGAATCCTCCAGAAAGAAAGAAGGCTGTTCCGTACGAGAAAGCTGCTTGCCAGCCGCTGTGGACACGGGCGGTGGTCAAACAGACCCGTGATGATGATGACGTGGAGAGGCAGGCCAAGCACCTGTGTCCACGGTGGTCCCAGGGTATTGAGCGTGGCCTAACTGTGAGGGTGTCCATTCCTTTCCACTTGTCTACAGTTACAAAGTGAAAGAAATCTTTGTCAATGAGTGATGATTTTAGATGTTTAGGAATCCATTACATATATACGGTGTCCATTATATAAGGGTTCAGCTGCTGTACCATATACTGCCCATTACGTGTCGTTTGTTACTGTATCATACGTTGTCCATCATATAGGGTTTAGGAAGGACTTTATATATAATTTGCGTTGTCCATTTAATGCAGATTTAGTCACATTAAGTTATTGTCTTTGTCTAAGTATTTGTGGAAACAATTAGCTGTATCGGGTGATATAGAAAGGGAAATGTTGATCGAGAGTGATTTCGTGGAAGTTCCACTACTTTGACATAACTAAATTATTTACCCATATATTGTTATTATGTGTTTCCTATAAATTTGAGATTATGATAATGCATATGCATATGTTTCCATAGTTTTAGGTTTGTAATGGTTTTCTTACAATTTGTGTTTCAAATATTATTCACAGGTCAGGTTGGGTTAAACAAACAGATGATTATTCTGATAGACAAATATATATTGTTCATGTCAATAAAATGTTGTGAAGTGTCATGATGTATATTTGACTTCTTTCTGAGCTGCGCATTTTTCTGGACTCTCAGTTATAGTCATGATGTATATACTAAATGTGTATACATAAATACATATTTCATACATGACCTGTGGATTAGCCTAGTGGGTAAAGCGTTCGCTCGTCACGCCGAAGACCCGGGTTCGATTTCCCACATGGGTACAATGTGGTAACCCCATTTCTGGTGCCAACCGACGTGATATTGCTTGAATATTGCTAAAAGCGGCGTCAAACCAAACTCACTCACTCACTCACATGACTAGTACATTTGCCATGGCTAGTGGGTATTGCAACACATAGCTATCCATTTGTGGGTTTTCTTAAATGCATAATGAGTAGTATATTGGGACCTTGCTGAAAAAGGAACAGACTTCAAACAAGGAATCTGTGTCGTTGATCCTAATTAAGGGACGACTTACACGAGTCGGGAGTAAGTGAGCGGAGTATTTAATGTCATGGTGAATAAGGGATCAATGTGGTGCAGGTCCTAGAGGTATATCACTGTGAATAACTTCAGTTACACCACCGCGTGTCGGCCTAATGTCGGAGAAGGGACCAATTTGGTGCAGGTCCTAGAGGTATATCACTGTAAATAACTTCAGTTACACAACCGCGTGTCGGCCTAATGTCGGAGAAGGGCCAACGTGGTGCAGGTCCTAGAGGTATGTCACTGTGAATAACTTCAGATACACAACCGCGTGTCGGCCTAATGTCGGAGAAGGGATCAATGTGGTGCAGGTCCTAGACGTATGTCACTGTGAATAACTTCAGTTACACCACCGCGTGTCGGCCTAATGTCGGAGAAGGGACCAATTTGGTGCAGGTCCTAGAGGTATATCACTGTAAATAACTTCAGTTACACAACCGCGTGTCGGCCTAATGTCGGAGAAGGGCCAACGTGGTGCAGGTCCTAGAGGTATGTCACTGTGAATAACTTCAGTTACACAACCGCGTGTCGGCCTAATGTCGGAGAAGGGACCATTGTGGTGCAGGTCCAAGACGTATGTCACTTTGGGAAATATTTAGAATATTGATGGGGAAGAATCTGGAAAACTAAATCCGATCTGATCATAGCACGTGTAAGAGAAGCACTGCCTTGACACCTGAAGAAAATTGTAGCAAAGGCACAACGCATCCAGTCTGTCGGACTACAACATACAACAAGCGAGGTTACAAGTTGTAACTGGCGTCACGGAATTAATTTTTCAGGAATACCTTCACTTTCACCAACAATTACATCTTTCACTTGTACACAAGTTATGGGGAATGGAGCAACCTGGTTGGTCGAGTATTCTTTCATCACGCTGAAGTCCCGGGTTCGATTCCCCACATGGTGGATTTGGGGAAGCCCATTTCTGCTCATGTCCTCCTCCATGATTGCTGGAATATTGTTAACAGCGACGTAAAACCATACTCACTCACTCACTCAGAACATAAGTTATTAAAATAGAAATCAAGTAACGAACGAATGATTTGTATGAATCAAGCAGGCAGATACGGAGTTTACGAGGGTGTTCGGGTCTGGATGGGACCTTGAGGTGAGCAGAGAATATATTCGTATTGGTAATTGAAACTGACATATTAACCAATCGGTGGACATGAACTTCTTTTAATGTGCATGTACATGACAAAGTATACAAGCAGGGGACTACAGCACATGTTGCTGAACCCCGAGTGTTTAGAATATCACATATAAAAAAACATCCATGCAACAATATCATAAACTTGTCTATTGATAAAAATATCATTAACATTTAACGTTGGAAATATCTCCAATTGTAGTAAACATTTATCATGGAACACACGACCAGACATAAAGCCTGTTATAGATCACATTTATGTGAGTTACTGACAGCCTGTTCCTGGCTCCATTATTTACAGATTGTGGTAATACAGGTGGAACAATGTTGAGTCGGCTGCTAAATAGCAAACAATCTGAAACAGCTGCATAGTATTTCATAATTATTAACAATAACTCAGTTCATCAATTCTTCAACACAAAGGGTAGGTGGTATAGCCTAGTGGCTAAAGCGTCCGCTCGTCACGCTGAAGACCCGGGTTCGAATGCCCACATGGGTACAATGTGCGAAGCCCAGTTCACGGTCCCCCGCCGTGATGTTGCTGGAATATTGCTAAAAGCGGCGTAAAACTAAAACTCAGTCAGTCAGTCGGTCTTCATCACAAAATGTATGGCGGCTTTGAACAGTGTTTCGGTTACACTCCCATCTTGGATTGCCAGCTTGATGTGGTTGGAAACTGATATGATGCAGCTCTTAGACGCTTATCACTTTGGATAAGTCCAACAGCAGGGACAAGGTGTTGGCAAATCGAGGTCCATGATCAGGTTGGTCTGGGAATCGAACCCACGATCATTGTTTACAAGCACGCCACAGATTACTGCCTCCAATCACAACCCTTACATACAGCAATATATACAATTGATCATAAAATGAACGTTATACAAGAGTATTTGTTATTTCCTTATAAAATGAATGTGGTCAACTAAACTGTTAAAACAGCACTACACGTTTTCCTGAACCATTATTTCGTGGCTTCGGTCGTGAATCCTCTCGTTGTACACTCCTCCCAGTCGGGCCAATACGCCTCCTTCATCCGTTCACAGTAGGCGGCCAGGGATGGAAACTCGTCTGGAATTATGAAGAAAGTCATTTGTGTGGTACAGAAAGCCTGGCTTGTAAACTGCTAAATTCTATTTCATAGTAAAAGTAAGTTGATGAGTTGTTAGTGGTACTTAAAACATAAGGTGAGTGAGTGAGTTTAGTTTTACGCCGCACTCGGCAATATTCCAGCTATATGGCGGCGGTCTGTAAATAATCGAGTCTGGACCAGACAATCCAGTGATCAACAGCATGAGCATCGACCTTAAAACATAAGGAAAATAGACCCATTTAAAAGATCTTTAGTTGTGTGGTTGCTGTTTAAGCCACGCTCAGCAGTATTTCAGCTGCATGATGGGAGTGCCGTCGTCGTCGAGACAATTTATTCCAGTGATTAATATTATGAACACCATTCCAACGTCGGGAGACGCAGTCAAACAAGTCACTGTGCATTACCACCTGATACATTCCCCCTACGACCAGCATTGGAATAACAATGACAGAACAGTACCGGAGATAACCATGCGTTACAAGTGATCTCTTTCAGGAAAACGAGAGAGGAAAATTGAAAGAAATGGATCTGTGCACTTTATTTCAGAATAGTAAGTCAAAGAATTACTTCTTTCCCCCGCAAATGTACATATTTTGGGGGGATTTCTATAAAAACTTGAAAGTTAGACAAACGGTCTGGGTCGCTGGATGGTAATCTACAGCACTACCCCCGAAGTATGGCGTCCAGTTGGTTTCGTTGGTTAGTAATCTAAAGCACAACCTGTCAGTACTTCTATTCACACTTTGCTAAGGATCAGATCGTTGATTCAACAGAAAACTATGATGTGGGGTCTAACTTAGTTTAAATATCCTATTTTTCAGTATGTCCTTGCATCTTGTGGATCTCATACCTGCTATTGACAGGTGTTGTGTACTTGTCAATAACACATTCCATGATTTGCAAAATGGTTGATTGGTGCCATGAAAACCATTTTTTATGGTTACTCATGTACCAAGTGCATAAGGTTGGATTAAAGTGGCTGTTTGCCTAAAGAGGGGTTACCATATTATTATGTATCCAGTTTTAAATGGATACAATTTCAAATAATAAATCTATTTTTAAGTAAAGTTGGGACTTTTTGTGATCCTTAGCAAAGTGTGAGTAGTATAATCTCCAGTTGGTTTCGTTGTATGGTAATCTAAAGCACTACCTGTAAGTAAAGTCTCCAGTTGGTTTCGTGGGATGGTAATCTAAAGCACTACCTGTAAGTATAGTCTCCAGTTGGTTTTGTTGAATGGTAATCTAAAGTACTACCTCTAAGTATGGTCTCCAGTTGGTTTCGTGGGATGGTAATCTAAAGCACTACCTCTAAGTATAGTCTCCAGTTGGTTTTGTTGTATGGTAATCTAAAGCACTACCTGTAAGTATGGTCTCCAGTTTGTTTTGTTGTATGGTATGCTGAGGACCTACATGTAAGTATGGTCTCCAGTTGGTTTTGTTGAATGGTAATCTAAAGCACTACCTGTAAGTGTGGTCTCCAGTTGGTTTTGTTGTATGGTAATCTAAAGCACTACCTGTAAGTATGGTCTCCAGTTTGTTTTGTTGTATGGTATGCTGAGGACCTACATGTAAGCATGGTCTCCAGTTGGTTTTGTTGAATGGTAATCTAAAGCACTACCTGTAAGTGTGGTCTCCAGTTGGTTTTGTTGTATGGTAATCTAAAGCACTACCTGTAAGTATGGTCTCCAGTTTGTTTTGTTGTATGGTATGCTGAGGACCTACATGTAAGTATGGTCTCCAGTTGGTTTTGTTGAATGGTAATCTAAAGCACTACCTGTAAGTGTGGTCTCCAGTTGGTTTTGTTGTATGGTAATCTAAAGCACTACCTGTAAGTATGGTCTCCAGTTTGTTTTGTTGTATGGTATGCTGAGGACCTACATGTAAGCATGGTCTCCAGTTGGTTTTGTTGTATGGTAATCTAAAGCACTACCTGTAAGCATGGTCTCCAGTTTGTTTTGTTGTATGGTAATCTAAAGCACTACCTGTAAGTATGGTCTCCAGTTGGTTTCGTTGTACGATAATCTAAAGCACTACCTGTAAGCATGGTCTCCAGTTTGTTTTGTTGTATGGTAATCTAAAGCACTACCTGTAAGTATGGTCTCCAGTTCGTTTCCCACCGCATGCCAGTGTAACTGACTAAGCTGACCAAACACGACACAATCAGCCTCACACGGTGAGTCGCCCATCAAATATTTCTTCTGTCCTGCAACATTAATTTCGGAAAAAGTTTTACATGTATTGGAAACCCCCAATTCTGGATGATTAGACTTCCTATGGAAAAGGTGCAGATTAATATCATACCGGATTAACGAGCTGCTGCTGGCAAGTGTTGATGTTTAAATTAACAGACATGCACAATATGTTCACATTGTCAAGGTTTACGGAATAATACAGTCCGGACTAAGCAGGTTTTCCAGCATAATACATCCTTGGCATTGACTCCATAAAGACGCAGCAGACTCGAACCAGTTGGTGTCCCTACCATAATCAGATATTCAAGAGCCTATCTGGGATATCACCACAAAAATATATTCAAGGCGACGAAATCACTCCTACTTACGATTGGTTAAGGGACTGTTTTTACTTTACTTTTTACTTTGTTGTTTTCCAGTGCGGTCGAGAACAATGAAACAAGGCAAATGAAATAAGTTTTCCCAAAAATAACAAATGGCTGGCTCATAATACAGGAATTCGCTAATCATTGTAAGATGTCCAGAAATGCAGTAAATTATGATTAACTTGAAAAATGTGTCAAATTATCAGAGCTGGGGAGATCGCTTTTAGCTGTTTACCAGCCATATGGGAGGGGGACATGGGTGCTTCACACATTCCACCCATGTGGGGAATCGAACCTGATCAGTCTTCGGCGTGACGAGTGAACGCTTTAACCACTAGGCTACCCCACCGAGTTGGTAAGCAGACTTTAGAAACACTATTGCTGGAATCACACAAACCACATTTACCTACATTAACTCAAACTGTTCCGCAAAATAGCTGCAAATACAATATAACAACCTGTATGCCGAATGTCTTAATGAACTACCTCCCATGACTGATAAAATTAAATGATTTGCCAATGACATATCTTCAACATGATGAAATAATATAATTGTTCTGAGATCGGAAAAAACACAAGGTTTATCAAAAAGGAAAAATACAAAGCGGAAAGTTAATACGAACCTAAGATGTCTGATACAGCCTGCAGATCACGCTTCAGGAAGAAAGTGACCTCCTCTTTGGTGTGCCGCCCCATTCCCATAGTGTAAAGGAGCTTGCGGATTCCTCTCTGGTAGTACCACAGCATCACTTTACCAATTTTGAACGCCTTGCAAATTAAAGTCGCCTCAGGGTCAAACAGATATCGAAACATGGCGTGACACCTGAAAATGATCATAATGATAATAACATGAAATGAAAATATTATCACCTTTGATTATTCATAGCATCATACATGCATAATATTCAGATGAATATGCTCTGGACACAATCTTCAGAATGGCTCCGTTTCGTACCCGTGAAGATCCGTGATAGAATTGGTCTTCAGTAACCCATGCTTATCGTAGGATCAGAATCGGGTGGTCAGGCCGCTGTCTTTGTTTACACATATCATGGAATCCCAATGGCGTAGATGCGCCTGCTGCTGATCACTGGATTGTTTGGGTTCGGAGTTAAACAAACAAACAAACTAGTACTGTTGTATCAGTATTCACCAACATAGAGCCTCGGCCCACTCACCAGCTGGCATGGTCCTCCATCATGATGCCCACCGACAAGGCCACGGATCTGTCATAAGGCGTTAGGCGACTGTTCAAATCTACGCCAAACTTCTTGTTCAGGAAGTCAATGCAGAGCTCGGAGTCCGCCACCTTCTCCTCGTTGTATTGGATCCAAGGCCATTTGCCTTTTGGAGACGGAGTCATTCCATGGGCAATCTGAAATACAAATGTTCTTTTGCCTATCCGATGAACAGAATTCCCGCCTGGTTTCAATGTTTAGCATCATCTTTGTGTGAGTGAGTGTGGGTTTAGGCCCCTTTTAGCAATATGCTAGCAATATAGCGGCGGGGGACACCTGAAATAGGCTTCACACATTGTACCCATGTGGGGAATCGAACCCGGGTCTTCAGCGTGACGAGCGGACACTGAAACCATTAGGCTACCCCACCGCCCCGCATCATATTTGAACGTCACATGATTCCATTCTATCGTTGACTGTTATCAAACCTTACTCTTTAAATAATCTCATTTATCGAATATCGATCAGACACTTATCAAATAATAAAGTGTTCTCTGCCGTTCCGAACCGAAGCGTACAAACATTGTTTAATGTTATGTTAGGGGTTTTGAGCAACAACAATGTATATTACGAAAGCTGATCGAATGAAATACTTTCTGTTGGAGTTTTAGAATGTTATTCACAGCATACGGTTGATATTCTAGTAGTTGATGTTTTGTTAAAAAATGTGTATGATCCCTCCTTTCAGAAAGTGATCACTGGATTGTCTGGTTTCAACAACAATGTGCATTACGAAAGCTGATCGAATGAAATACTTTCTGTTGGAGTTTTAGAATGTTATTCACAGCATACGGTTGATATTCTAGTAGTTGATGTTTTGTTAAAAAATTTGTATGATCCCTCCTTTCAGAAAGTGATCACTGGATTGTCTGGTCCAGACCCGATTATTTACTGACCACCGTCATACTGCTGGAATATTGATGACTGCGGCGTTAAACAACAAACCAACCAGCAGCGTTTAAAATTCCCGCCTGCCTAACCGTCCGGAACGGCCTATTTTCATCTCGGACGGTCAAATATCAAAAGTAGCCTGTCCGGTGGTCTGGCAGATATTTTTAACCCTAAGAGTAAATATTTCATAATATCAGACAGGTTCTCGTGTCGTCAGTTTTAGGTGTTTAAGGTATTATGAAAATTATGTTAAACTATATACAATTGTACAGTTATGTTACGATAACCAATCATAACACATGTACTTACCTGGTGAGGTATTTTTGCTATCCTGATATAAGTCTCAAGTTTGACGACAAATGGAGATAAACTTGGAGCATAGGGTCCCCTCCCTACCTGATGAAGGATGACCGTGTCCCGGGGGTAGATCTTTTTTTTTCTGAAACACAATATCAATTGCACAATATGGACATTTTGCCTTTCAGTTAAGTTGGAATATTCTACCTGAACAATGTACTAGGGCCACGGTTGACCTAGTCCAGGTACGGCCCAGTCATTTGTTACAGGGAAGTGAGTGAGTGAGTGAGTTCGGTTTTACGCCACTTTTAGGAATATTCTAGCAATATCACAGCGGGGGACACCAGAAATGTGTTTCACACACTTTACAAACCAATAGCCATTTAAAGATAACCTAGAAACACCTAATACGCTAAAAGCGGCGCAAAACTAAACTCACTCACTCACATATTCCCCAAACCCTGCCCTCTCACCATTTCACCTCACACGCCGTCAGTTTTAATTCCAACTCAAATAAGGTGCGGCCGTCATACAGGGTATTTTATGGGCGCTTCGTCACTTCACTGATCGCTAAGTAGGACTACACAGGTAAATGAACTCGCTTCTCACCCCGTATTTTACAACGGGCACATATAGATAGCAGCATTGAGACAGCGTCCCCACACCCACCCTAAGTTAACCACATATTCACCCCGCATGACTAAACACTCATAATGAACAGCAAATGGACTCTCATGTGGATCGATCGAACTGCTGATAATGCGCCTCCACAAGCAGTCATACTTAGGCCATAGTTTCTTGACGATGACAACGGATACTGCCACTGCTGTCACGCCACCTGCAACACAAATAAGTCTGTGATTCAAGTTGTAACTACACAGAAATCCGTTCATGATGCTGATTCACTCCGGTTGGGTCCAAGTGGATTTCTGGGTCATCGGCGTCTTAAGCAAAGGGAGATAAGTAGGGTGTGGGACGTTAGCATTCGTAACTACTCGCCTCTTTCCGTGACCTACAAGGAGACTCGTCTCGCAGCCTAGTTCCCGGGGTCTGCTGCGCTACGCTTCGAACGCGGGAACCAGGCTGTTATGTTGCCTTTTGAGTGTTTTCTTGGAGATTTTGTGGCCATACAATAGAGATTTTACGTGCGTTTTCCGACATTGTTAGGTAAATTATAAATAGTTTCGAGCTTCGACTTGTGAAACAACATATTTACATATAACTAATCAACCTTAATCTTAGGCAGCGTACTGACATTGTATTGGGGATATTTTAGCATGAAGTTGCTTAGGGTCCTTCATCAATAGAGAGGACGGGAAGCTTTTCGGTGACGGTGTCTTCAAAACAACTTGCAAATATATACAATTTAGTGTTATGTCATGTCATAAACAGGTTTCTTTACGGTAGTATGGCCCGATATTGGTAAGTGATGGAGTGAGTATGGTTTTGTGCCGCTTTGAGCAATATTCTAGCAATATTGCACGGGGGACACCAGAAATGTGCTTCACATATTGTACCCATGTCGGGAATGAAAACTCGATTTTCGGCGTAACGAGTGAACGCTTTAACCACAAGGCTACCCCACCGCCCCATATGGGAGTCGGGGGTTAATATAGGGTATGATATGTAACCTTCTAGATGTTAGTCAGGGTGTTAAACATATCGGTGCACATAGGTTTCCGATAATTGCTGGGCGAAGTGGTATTTTGTTGTCATATACATGTATTCAAGATGTATATTACAAATCGATATATATATAGTGGGGGATTTCAGTTACAAAATCAATATTTTTGGGTTAATCGTGCATTACTTCGGGACTACCCATTCCCTCCCACGCCATTACATATACATATTCTGTACACGTGAAAGTCTGGGTTAGAATTGGTCTTCAGTAACCCATGCTTGTCGTAAGAGGCGACTAACCGGATCGGGCGGTCAAGCTTACTAACTTGGTTGACACATGTCGTATCCCAATGGTGTAAATCGATTATTTACAGACCGCCACCATATAGCTATAAGATTCGAGAAATCTATCTTGAGCAAGGCCACCAGGTTTCGTGTTTGGCTCTCACAGACAGTTTCCCCAACGCCTCATGTTTATAACTTTATTATGAAGATTGTGGTTTCTATATGGTTGGCTGTGATCAAAATGGTCCTTATTTGCAAACAAACGTCGCTCACCATACTATATGAATAGTATTGGGACAAAGGATTAAGTTCAGGAACAGATAATACTACATTACTAATTTGGAGGATGTTTCAGGAGTATCCCTCTGTACCTTCAGAAGGGACGAGGAAAGGCTTAGCTCAGACCTTTTCAGAGGTCATCTACCCACAAACAAGGTAAATCCAATAGCTAAGCTCGAAAGGCGTTCAAAGGTGCTGTAATAAACTTCGAACTAAACGTCAGCAGAGAGACTTACTAGGACCTGGGCTTCCTTTCACAAAGCACTAACATGATCGCAAGTCACTAAGGTAACCTTAGTGCAATGTTAAAGAATGGGAGTTAAGGTTAACCTCAGTAAACGTTGCTTCGTGTAAGGAGCCCCTGGAAGTTAACCAAACACTTTGAGGCTGCCGAATTATTCTATAATCAGCAAAGAGCGTCAAGTGTTCTAAATGAATAGTACTGGGACAAAGGATTAAGTTCAGGAACAGTTAAATACGACATAACTAATTTGGGGTATATTTTAGGAGTATCCTTCTGTATCTTTAGCAGCGACGAGGAAAGGCTCAGCTCAGACCTTTTCAGCAGGAGAGGGTCTGAACGTTAGACGAAGAGTGGGCGGCAGTTCGAGGTGTGTGTGGACGGATTTGAAATATCTAACATTGTATCAACGGAGGAACGTATGAACAACAAAATCAACGCCATTTTAAATGTCAATTAGCCGAAGTGAGACGGACGGATAAAGACCTTGAAGAAAGGTTGAGATCATTTACCGAGTCCAGAATTCTGGAATATTGTAAAGATCCCGCGAAGCAAACAACAAGAGATATCATATCCCAAAAGTACTTCCCGTTAAAGGAAACCATTTGCTTATTGTTCGAACACAACAAAATGTAAACGAATGAGAGCAGTACAAGATCGATGTATCGTTCCTAGAGGAAGATAACACAAAACTGTTTTCTGTCATGACAGAAAGGGATGGTAACAGAGAAGTAATAGGGTTTCATAGTGATAATGAAACAAAGGATGGCAATTTACTAAAGCTTCTTTATATATTTGATATGTTTAACATTATCTATGAAGTCACTTCAATTTCCGATCTAACCATCCCCAAATTAGCCAACTATTACGACTGGCAACAACTGTGACAGCCAAGCACTAAGTCCGGTCAAGTGAAGTCATACTTGTTGGTCGAGCAATTAGGAACCAGAACTGGTTCTTGAATATCACTGGAAATCTGGTACCGGAAGTAAGCTGGGCCCCGTCTGCGCGCGCAAAGGGAGCAGGGAACCAGCGTAGTACCGGAAGTAGCGCCTCGCGAGGCTTACAACTGAGACAGTATCTGTAGACAGAGAATGATGTATTGTTTCAGCCAGGATAGACGTTCATTGTTTTTATTTCGTTCAATTGTTTCACCAAAACCTCAAGTCACTGAAATAAGAAGAGTTCTTGGGACTCGGACGTTGCCGCACTTTAGTGCAGTAACAAGTGTTATGTGATGTTTGTTTCGTTTGAAAGGATATGACTATGCCCCGAATATAACAAATATTTGAAGTTGTTTGTGTCTTCCTGAAGCTATTTTGCTGAGATTTCGCCTTGTCTCTTACCAAAGGTGGATGACTTTATTTACTTTTGTCGTGTCACGCGAAAAATGGAACACCTCCATCATAAATGATTGATAACTGGGCCATTTTTTACAAAGAGTTAAAGTCTGCAATTTTATGATAAAGTAAGACATCCGAAGTCAACAGAAAAATTGTTTCAAAGGTCATTGACATGAACTCCAGATTAATCGTTCCATGATTCATGGATGTTTTCTTAGTTAAAATTTCGATGGCAGCCGTTATTATACAATCATGCATTTATTTTTGTGAATATGAATTGAAGATTTTTTATTTGCTTCCATTATCACGAAGATGAATAAAAGATCGCGACACTAATCTACATACATTACATTAGGTTACTGTGGATACTTCAGACTTACCAATATCTATTTTTCTCCAGATATCATAAACAAGGATGGAAACTGTACTTTTATGATCAGTTATATTCTTTGACTAGGGAATAAGTCTATTCCAAGAATAACAAAACCAGCAAATGCACTGTAGGGATCAGATTCCAGGGGCACTCTGTGCCTTTGCTCGCTGCATTTACTAGCACACCTCGGGCTTTCCTCCTTCATCAAGCTGCCTCGCCCTGACATAATTAAATAAACACTGTTCAAAACGGCACTTACAAAACTCACTCACTCTCACAACATCCTCAATAATCCACTGACAGCATTCATTCGTCATCTATTTCCATTTTGACAGTTCAGTGTAACGATTGATGATGACTACTAATCACCACTATGACTAAATGGTGTTCTACCCATCGGCACTAACGGAATTATGTCTGTTTATTTTTAAATGATGGAGGATTGCAAACACAACAAGCATGAGGAATAAGTTCGATGTAAACCTACTTTGACCACCAGTTCATTTAAAACCATAGAGGGGATATGAAATGGGGTTTAAACAGTGTGCGACATAGTTTCCAAATTTTGCTAGCCATTCGGGCTAGCTATGCCTGAAACTTACTAGCCCATAAAATAATTCACAAGCCCGAAATTTGAATGTAGAAACGGGTTTCATCATTAAGCTGCTGATATGATGAACATTTTTATAAGGCCATATTATTGCATGATTTAAAAGTGTATCATATGTGATATATTTACAAAATGACCCCATGAAAAGTCACTAGCCAGTCGGGCCAGTGACTGTGGAGATTTACAGTCCCGACTGGATATTTACTAGCCACTGGCTAGCGGGCCAGTGGCTATTTCGAACACTGAGTTTAAAGTCGTACTTCAGAATATTTCGCTCATATGAAGTAGATTCCACTGGTTTGGAATATATAGCTAACATATCAAATGGTTGTTTACACATTTTCAAAACTATTTGGTTATGTATAATTGTAATACATGTTTCAAGAATAGCATGTAAGTAAAGGCGACCCACACATTATGAAATTCGACCTTGTTACACGCGATCTCGACAAAGAGTTCCGTTGCATGTAAAAATGATCGATTGGTGACTAAGTAATGCCTCGAGCCGTGGCTAAGATACAACACCCGTGCAAAAGGAACACGCATGGCAATACACAATTTATGCGTAAAATGAACTACTTTTAGTATAGAACAAAAGTACAGCTAAGTCACCTGCACCAATTGTTCTCGTAAGGAAACATCAGGCCGGTACGCAAATATTTGCTCGGCATCTAAAACAAAAAAAAAGATCAATGGAACGTCATGTGTTATCCGGAGGCAATATCCGGCGGCGTCTTTGTTATAATCACATCAAAGCGATGGGGCGGAACAGTTTCATGGTGAAGCATACTCATGTGTGTTATTTGATTATTATTTTTTTATAAGATGATCGAGTGCTTGATCCCGAAGACTTTTCGTGGGCAGATAGGAGTACTGAAAGATAAAAGTAAAATATATTCATTATCTTGTGTGTCAAATGTCTTCATTGACCGATCTAAGTGTTCAGATTTGTATTAAAGGTCGAGAATGTTTGCATGATGCTAAAATGTATTGTAATTATTACACTATACGCATCAATAATTCGGATGGCTAATTTACCATCTACGTGCACACGCTTCAACACAATATCGGATCATATACCACATATTTGAACAAACATAAATGCTGACGAGGAATGTCCTATGCAAGAACGTTTATGTCTTTAAAACTAATGTTTGTTTGTTTGTTTGTTTGGTGTCTAACGCCGCACTCAGC